TTTCCACCCCACAGACAGGCTGGCTTGCCCAAGACTTGATTTCACTTCACTGGATCCCACCTTTGCCTTCATGTGTTAGGGCAAACTTTTTAGACTTGCAAGGCACTTTTTAGACCTTGATTATCTAGGCTAAGGCGTTAGCTGCTTTTATGGATTAGCTGAGGCCAGGTGGGTGTAAGGCAACAAGAGTTGTCTACGGCTGAGTGGGTTGATGGGCAGGCTGAGAAAGACAGCAGATCTTGAAAATATATGTGTTCAACAGAAGAGCATGAGGAACTAATATGGGGAGGGAGAGGAAAGGCAAAGAAGGGAAGGGGTCAAACACTCCCCTGCTCTGCTGAGAAATAATTCAGTTTAGATGCTTGCATTGAGAGAGAGGTCCCTAATTTCAATGACATTTGCCCTCAACCAGTTAACTGGAGGCTACACAGAACTGGAGTACTTTGCTTTGCTTACACAGATGTGACGCATTGCTCATCTCAGAGCTGCTGATCTGATGTCATTCTGAGCTGTCATCATCTGCCACCCCTACAGCATTTAAATGAAAGGAAGAACCAACAGGAGAAGGAAACAGGGATTTCTGGCTGGTGGGCAGCCTGCCAGCAAGCCCAGAGAAATCAGCCCTCTGCTGCTCCAGATATGAGCAGCTGGAGATGCTTGTGCCATCAGGAGGAGCACAGCAATGAGCCTCCCGTAGCGGGGTGGACAGCCTCCTCCTGGTCAGAAGGATGGACATGGGAACACGTTTCCAGGTTGGCCTCAGGTCAAAAACCTCTCAGGGCTGGTGAGGACTGCATTGCCTCTGCAGCAAGGACGCTGGGCCTTCCCCTCCCTCTTCAGCTGGAGAAGACAAGTGTTTGCAGCAAAGGCCACGGAAGCTGATGACTCTGTTTAGGTGCCTTTGGAGTAGGCCATAAAAACCCATCCAAGATCTGGTTGACCCCTCTTCCTGAAAAATCAAAATATCCCCCATGGAGAGGGAGAACCCTTCTGCAGGATGAGGACCAAAACTCAAGCTCATTGAGCTGGGAGAAGGTCTCTGCCTTGCTGGTCCCAGAGCAACATTGCCTTCCTTCAGCCGCCGCTGGGCTCATGGAGGATGCAATTAGTGGCTCTGGACTTTAGTAGGCACTTTCCAACCTCACTGTCTTTGCTGAGGGAATGTCCTCAAAGCTTAACTAATGAAATCATCAGCCTTGCTCTTGCTCTGGGGAGGGAAAACAGAAGCTGGAGTGCAGTATCTGGACTCGTTTTCAGTCATGGATTGATCTCTGGCAGAAGTGGCAGAAGTTACTGTCCAGGTAAAAGGCAGATTAAATCCATGAATCAAATTTTCTGGCAGCATTTTATGGGCAATGCTTGTCAGTTCCAATGCAAATGTGATCTAGGACCAAACTGTGGCTTAGTGTGGTGGTTTAAGCCCTGCCGGGACCGGAGACCACGTTGTCGTTGCCCCTCCCCGACCCTCAGCCGGTCAGGCTGGAAGTGAGGCACAAACCCCGGGTTAAAATAAGAAGAAATGTAATACAACAGTGTATTAAATAAACAGTACAATAAACAGTACAACAGTAAACAAGACAGAAGGTATACAGAGAAATACCACAGAGCATTACAGACAGCTCACTTGCGTGCTCCCCTCTACCAAAGCCACAAAGGAAAAAGTTCTCATGCTCCCGCGCCTGGACCTGATGTCAGTATGGTGTCAGTATGGTATGAAAAACCCGGCTGGAGATCCCTTTCCCCTTCTCTGCTGGGGAAACTTAACCCTATGCTAGCTGAACCAGAACACTTAAGAAAGAGAAAGAAGATGTGTTACTAGACTAATCATTAGCAGACACTGCTAATGTGAGATCTTCCATTGCATTGAATAGGGACGAGTGCTGCGAGACAGATTTTGGTGTTGGTCACGGTGTATATCTAGAGTAAGGCTGCTCAGCTCGTGTCAGCAGGGTGACACTGGATTTACTTGAAGTATGCAAGACCAAGCAGACTTGGAAAGCAGTCTCCATGAAGGCCCCTTGCAGCTAGATACAATGAGCAGAAGAGGCTAAAGTTGTAAACAGATAACTTGGAAATGTAATGTTCTGTTTTGCACTGTTATTTGTTTGCCAGGGCTTTCTGGGGTCCGCCAGTACTGTGCTTGGCAAGGACTGGCTTTTTGTTGTGCAAGCTGATTCAGTTATGCCAGCTGTATGATTTGATGACTGCTAATAAGCATATATTTGCTGAAGTATTCCCTGAAGTCTTTGCTTTGAAAATCCTCATCAACAATTGGATTAGTTGTAGGGAATGAACAATTACAACACAAGATAGTGTATTATGTTAAGACAAATTGATGAGTTCTATCTAATCATGTGGTTCCAGTCACATCTTGATAGTATTCTTGCTACGGAGGGAAATGCATCATTGCACCGGTCAGTACCAGAAAAAATACTAAAAAATACTTGCTTTAATTGTCTAGTAACTAAAACAAAGACAATTCTCTGTACCAAACCAAAGTGGTTAGGCATTTACTTTAGGTTATGTTGACTCTGCATGTCTTCCTGCCCAGATATCAGAGATAAAGTTTGCACTTTCTGGACCACAGGGAAGTGTATGACCAAGTTTCTCACAAGGACTGTCTTGGTAAGGAGGAGAAACTCAAGGCAAAAGCTCTGACAAGACAATCTGCCCACCCTGTTCTCTATAGGTTATCATGGCTCTGGCATCAAAGGTCCTGCAGAGGTTTCACTAAATCATACTAAGACCTCCCAAGATACAGCAAGAGGCTAGAAATCCTTGGCTAAGGTTGCACCAGGTACCAAGAGACGAGTGAGATGCAGAATGTTACTGTTTTTTTCTGCTTTACTTATGTGCTACAAAATATGTCCCAGCAGATATGGGGGAATATCACTAAGCATGCTGTCTTGTGTTACACTAAGCCATTTTTGTCCAAAATCTAACTAAACTGGTGCCTGGTGACACAAGGCTGTTGTGTTTGGGTGTGCAGAGGGATTTTCACTTTAGCCTGCTCTCCACCTTGCCTTCAGGCTGCATGAAGGCCTAGAGGTGTAAAATGTCTCACCTGTAACCTGCTGTAACAGCTTTCCGTTGGGAGGACCCACAGCCATTAGATGTTGAGCAATTCACCATGAGCTGCTTTGCAAGTCCTCAGCAAACACAGCAGTTAGGAGACATCTCCCCGTGATTATGGTGTTGCTCAGCTTTAGCAATGGGCTAGAGCAGCACAGGATGCCCATTTCATAACTCAGCCTTTACCTGTTTGTGGGGTACGGTGAATCGGGGCCAAGCCAACAGCAGAAAATATAACCGGGGGGAACGGGGTATGTGGATGGCTCTTGGCTCTGGGTTTGCAGCTCCATCACTGAGGAACAGTGCGTCTCATCCCATTTCCTCTGGTTTGAATTAATAACGTAGTCAAATCAGGTTGTTATCAGACAGCATGAGAAATTATCACCTTAAGAGTTCTGCTGCTGGTGGCACACGTATTCGTTACCTGCTGCCTCTCTCAGAGGGGCACTACGGAGGACTAGTTTGTGTTTCAGAGATGCTGTATGTAATTACTTATGCACAGTTTTGCGAATGATTCATTTCTATTAGGTCCTCTCCCGTTGTTTCTCTTGCTGACATCTGGCTTGTTTTGTGCATCTTCTGTTTCCATCTGGGTGTGAACAGAAAGGTCTCGGGGCTCCCCGAGCTGCGGTGAGGGACTGGCCCTGCCTGTCAGAAGAAGGGAGATGTGAGCAGAAAGGATCTGGGTGAAGAAGGCATGGTGTGCATGCCTGTGTCTTGGGATGACACGCGGTGTCTCTTGCTGCTGTTGTTCCTGGATATTTTGTGCCATTCCCAAAGATTAAAAAAGAAAGAGGTGTATTTTGGGAAGATGAACTGTTCAAAAAACTGAGCAAAAGAGTAGGTGTCCTATCCTGGGGCTGATCCTCAGCAAAGAGGCATCTCTAATAGCCTCACTTGAGTCTCATCCTTCACCAGTGAGTTGACTTTTTCCCTAGTTTAGGAGCCAAAAGTTTTACCGTGACGCCTGTAAATGCTCTGGGAATGTAGGAATTAATGTGCTGGATTGGGCCAAGGGCCCATCCAAGCAAGGATCTTGAGCCGAGGTGCAAGCCAGTGCCAGGTGTTTTACAAAAAGCCTCCACTACAGATATCTTTCACACCTCATTTCTTCCTCATTCCCATCCGTTTCATGTCTGGTTTCACAGCAGTCCGTGTTGTGTTCCCTGCAGCCGCTCTCTCCCTGCATCCAGTTAAAAAGACGAGCTATGAGGGGTCTCAGCAAAGACACACGGTCTTAATCCTGGCTCTCAGAGGTAGAAGGTGTCATTCATGTCCTGCAGTCAGCAAGACATGGTTTCTAAGAGCAGAGATTATTTCCTTGCCTACGAGACATTTTTAGACAGTCAAAGGAATACCTTGGATTGCATGGAAAGTCAGCAAGCTTTGAAAACTTTGGTGAGCTCCTAACCCTTGAAATCGTATTTTAGAAAATGGAGGGGTTTCCCCCATTTCTAAAATGTTGAGGCTTTTTCATAGAGTCATACAACAGTTTGAATTGGAAAGGATTTTTAAAGGCCATCTAGTCCAACCCCTGCCTGAGCAGGACATCTCCACTAAATCAGGTTGCTCAGAGCCCCGTCCAACCTGGCCTGGAATGTTTCCAGGGATGGGGCATCCACCACCTCTATGGGCAACCTCTGCCAGGGCCTCACCATCCCCATAAAAATTTTCTTCCTCATATCTAGTCTGAATCTATACTCTTTTAGTTTAAAATCATTACCCCTTTTCCTACTGCCACAGGCCTTATTAAACCTTTTGTTATCTTTTTCTTTAAGACAGGAAAACCAAAACAAGTTGAAACCGTTTTCATCAGTATACACTTCAGGCTGGAGCCAAAAATTCACTCTGAACCCAAACACGTTTTGGCTCCAATGGGTTTTGGAGGAGAAAAACTATTAGTTAAAATCAACATTTTTCCATGTAATCGACATTAACTGACCTGTTCTCTTTTTTTTTAACCCTTTTGGGAAAGGAGAGAAACAGCTGTTTGACCATTTCTGACCCTGGATGGGCAACCACTGGCCTGGGCTGTCCTGGCCGCCGCTGGCCCCCGTGACGGCCGTGTTCTTCTCTTCCAGGTGCTCCTTTTCAAAGGTCTCAGCATCCCCATGCTACCTCCTGCCGGCACTTCCACCTGGGTCCCCAGCCTCAGCTCTCCACCGACTTCACCCTGCCTCACACGGTGCAGCCCCAGCCGGGGCTGACTCCCCCCCACATGGCCCCCGCGCACCAGCACAGCGGCCCCCTGCACCAGCCCCTGGCGCCGGTGCCAGCCCTGCCCTTCCAGGACGTGGCTGGACCCTCCTTCCTACCTCAGGCGCTACACCAGCAATACCTCCTCCAGCAGCAGCTCCTCGAGGCGCAGCACCGCCGGCTCATGCCCCATCCCAGGTAAGCGGATCTTACTCTTCCTGAAGGGTGATGAGAAGCTACATCCTCCTCACTTCGGCAAACTGGCTTCTGTAAATGCCCAGTGCTACGTGCTGGCAATGCTGGGTTTTCTTCACAAGTTCACCTGTCTACCAGAAGGGAAGGTGCAGGGCAGGCTGTACCCACACGTGTACCTTTCCCATGGGGATCCATACCGTGCTCATCCAGTATGTCCCAAAGTCACCTGTTGTTGACACTCATAGGAGAAGCATGACGGTAACACTCCGGTGTTGCAGTCAACTTGTCCTGCACGGCAGAGAGACCAGTCATCATGGTTTGAGCCCAGGGGGTAACTGAGCACCATGAAGCTGTTCACTCACCCTTTCCTCCCAGGTGCTGGGAAGGAGAAAAAAGAATCCAAGGGCTCAGGAATGAAGACAAGGACAGAGATGGGTCGCTGACCCACTAATAGTCACAGGCAGGGGGAGAAAAGAGTATCACTTTAATCCAAAACACTAACAACAAACGACACTTAACAGACAGAATGGGACTGTGAGAACCTCTACCATATATTAAAACACCTCCCCCCACCCTCCCTTCTTCCTGGACTCAGCTTTGTTCCTGACATCTCTCTCTCCCTCACCCACCCAGGCAGGGGCAGGGGCCGGGGGTGCAGTCAGTCCTGCTGCTCCTTCCTCCAAGGCTGGGGGGAATCACTCTCCTGCATTCCTCCCCCTGCTCCACCTCACGTCCCTCTCCCAGCAGACAGTCCCCCACAAACTCTCTCCGCCCGAGTCCTCCCCACGGGATGATTCTTCCCGAGATGCTCCGCCGTGGGTCACCCCCACGGGTTGCACCTCCCAGCACCGACCTACAACAGCGGGGGCTGCTTCTCCCCACAGAGTCCCGGGGGTCCCCCACAGGCCGCAGGAGAATCTCTGCTCCTCCAGGGACCCCCATGGGTGATGGGGGGCCCTGCCCTCTCACTATGGGATACAGAGGGGCTCCGTGCTCCAGTACATCACCCCCACTTCCTCCTCCTTCCTCCCACTGACCTCGGTGTTCTTCTCCTAACTCCTCCTCAAAGTCCCAACCCCTCCCAACCCCTTTCCCTTCTTAAATACATTATCACAGAGCCGCAGCCACCATTACTGACTGGTTTGGCCTTGGCCTTGGAGCCTGGGGAGCTTTCAAGAAACTCCTCACATGGGCCACCGCTGTAGCCCCCTTCCTCACTACCAAAAACTCTCCACACAAACCCAGCATAGTGATAGACTGCATGCACAAGCTAACTCCTCATAGCTGCTGTGTCAAAACCGTGAAAGACATTGTACCCACCTGACCTGTTGGGTTTGCACATGAAGACCTTGTTCCTCTGGGTCTAGGTGGGCTTCCCAGCTTTAAGATGAAATGATGCTGTTGACCTGCAGCACATTCGATCATGGAAAGGAGCCTAAACTCATACTGGGCTGATGACTGCAGAGAGAATTATTGTCACTCAGCAGAGGTGGAAATGGATTCCTGGCCTTTTCCTCATTGTGTTTCTTGAGAGAGGGGTTTATATAGCACGTAGGAGAGGAGTGCTTTTTTTGGGAACATACAGAAGCTATTTGTGGGTTGTACCCATGGATCAAAAATCAGAGAATGTGATAATGCTTCATTTGGAAAGAATGCTACAGACAGAAAACACTTTCTTTCCATATCCTTTCTGTCTGAAAATTATGTGTTCTTCTCACCTTTGTTTTGTTTTACATAAGATGGATTTTAGGTGGATTTAATCATTAGCTAATAATTGGGTAGCAAATATGTGTGAAGCCGAGGCACTGATGATACAAGTGTTTATCTCTTAGTCATAAGCTGAATTCAAATAAAAGCACAGAGCACAATTCCACGCAGAAGCTGCTTTGGTAAATGCTGTCAGTGTTGCATTTGCAAGTGGGTTGTGGTGTGTAAAAGGGCAGAAACATCTTGCCCAGTCCCACAGCCTGTTTCTGAAAGCACAGTTGTATTGGAGGAGGGTATCAGAAACCTTAGAGTTGTGGAGCGTGAGGTCCCAGTATTGGGAATGTGGGTTGTGCCTGCACAAGTGAAGCCTCTGAGCTGTGGCTGCATGAAGTATTCTTTATCTAGCAGTTCTCTGCTCCATTTGTTCTAGTGTTTTCTCATAGATTGGCTTGTGATGGCTCTACTACTAAGTGGGGACTTGACAGGGAGGAAGGGGTATGAGTCTGTAGTGCAAATCCTGCTTGTGCATCCACCTCGTCTCTCTACATATGTAGAAACTGATCAGGCAGCATAGGCTCTTCCTCTGAGTAGTTCAAATAAGCAATAACCATGAGAAGAGACTCAAATCCCTAGAAAAAACTGACTATATTTTCTACCACTTTCCTTTCCCTGCCTGCAAAGGCAGCAGAGCTGGGAGAGAAGGAGCTGGATCCCAGCCTGGCCTGTCCATCATCCAGAGAAATGTTGGCAAAGGCCAGCGAGAGTAAATTCTGCTTTCAGTTACTCCTGAGTAATCCCGTTATGAATGAGGTTCCCTAGGAGTTTATGGACTGCATGGGGAGACGAGACATCCTGCAGCTTCTTTATGATGATGGATAACAGCTGAAGTAGGGACACATTTTATTTTGTGTGTTGTTTATGGAGCTGACAGTGGAGAAAAAGGAAATAGTGCAAATGGCACAAAGCTGCTCAGGAAGAAATTATTTGGTTTCCTCTTTTCTCTCCGTGTTGCCACCAAATAGCATCTCCTGTAAACTGAGCATATCTGGATGCCAGAGGGGGTGAGAGTGGAGGTCAGCGTTATGTCCATGGTGACCACAAGTAAACGACATAGCTCTAGGTTCTTCTTCCCACCACCCCTGATGCCTGCCTTGGACTCTTTCCTCTTGGACACATACTCACAAGCCCAGTCGTTTGGGTTTTCCCTTGGTTTACTGACAGGGACTCAGAGCCGAGGCTGCACATACCAGTGCCCGCTGCGTGTCTAACTCCCTTGTGGGTCTCCTCCCCACAGGCGGGCTCAGGAGCGCATGTCTGTTCAGCCTCACCGTCTACACCCCAGCTTTGACTTCAGCCACCAACTGCAAACTACACAACCCATGGGGCCCCAGCCCAGGTATTTAGCCGAAGGCACGGACTGGTAAGTCTTGCACGTTTCGCTAGTGCATCGAATGAGATGTTTAAAAAAGTCTTGGGGAGGCTGCAAGGGTTGTTGAAGGTCATCGTGGAACAATGCTTCGATGAAGGTTAATGGTTCAGCTCAACACATACGTTGTGGGGAGTGTGCAGTGGGAAAACTCGTCTCCGGGAGGGCCATGAGTGCATGCTAAAGTCTTTATGCATGTATCTGATAACACTAGGGCATCAACATTGCCCATAGCTCTTCATCCATGGATGCAGAGTGCAGCCAAGCATTAATCTCCCCAGGGCCTTTTCCTGCTGCAGGGCACAGTCAGGGTCTTTTTCCTATAGACCGAAATCTCTGTCTGAACTACACCTTCTGCTGTCCACCAGGCACTCAAAAACTGGTGACCACAATGTTTTCTGTCATCTAAATTAGGGAGCACCATGCTGCCCTGCCCTGCAGCGTGGTGTGAATGAATTAATAGATGTTAATCATTCTCCAACTGTAGTGTTCAATACCCTGGAAAAAACAACCAGAGAATTGATTGTTTTGTTTTCAGAGCAGGTCTTGAGCTCTTGCACGGTTAATAAGGTATGGGACCCTACTTGGAAGAATAAGAAAATAAAAACATACTTCTGAGTAGCTGCTTGTTAGCTGAGCGAAGTCCATTCTGTGCACTGACTGAATGGAAAAAATAGCATGTGAACATGTAATTAGAGACAAATTCAATGTGTATGTACAAGGGGACTGAAATAAAATGGCACAGGAAATCTTAATTATGGCATTTCCTAATATCTGAGTGCTTTGCTCTGCAAATTGAGAGTACTTTTAACAGAGGGGTTTTTTTTCCTCCTTCAGGGTAATAATGCACAAACTAAAATATGGCCAGATCCTTCTGCCATTTTCTTCTCAGGTGTTCCTATTACTGGCACCACTGTGAGCTGAATTTGGCCAGGATGACATTGTTCAGATCAGTTTGCAAAGCGGTTCACGTACCATCTGGAGGGAGCCATTCTTTCTGCCTCTCTTTCAGCACAGAGTGTTTAATTATAATCATTAAAAGGATCTGATAAAGCGTTGCTTTATGTTCCCCTCCTCCTCTTCCCTCCTTTTCCCCCCTGTGTTGCTCTGTAGCCTTATAAAACCTAGGGAGTGGGGATGACAGAAACCATATACTGTGTATATATATTTGGGTGACTCACTTCCCCTTGGGGCACACATACAGTTTTGCCCAGTGACAGGTAGAAAAACTTTCCTCTAATGTGTTACCACCACATGAGCAGCAGCGGCGCTCGCTCGGAGGTGGTAGGTGACGTTGCAGGAAATGGGGATGGAAGGAAGATCTGAAGGTGCTCAGTCATCTCAGACAGCCCAGCCTCGATTAAAATCTTCTGGTGGAGAATAAATAAAAGTCACATTTGGTTCTGTAAATCATCTTCTGCATAGGCATTTAGTGATGACTATCCGACCTATTATCTGCAGCCTCATCTTTCACTCTGGAGTTTTTGGCAGGCCATGTACCACAAGCATCACAGCTTTTGAACCTCTCAGTTGAGCATCGAGATGCTGTACAGATGTCCATGTAGCACAGGCTAGAACGTGATAGTTGGGTTTGGCTTTCTTCAGCCAATGTGTTCTGCTTATTCACCCCAAACCGTGGGAAAACATTGTTCCATCCAGTATTCTGCTGTGGACCCTTCTCTACACTCACAGCCTTCAGGAGCCTTGACATTCATTCTTAAGGCTCTGGATGCACTGACGCACAAATAGTTCAGGAGTGCTCTTATTGCAATGACTTGTGGAAGTTAATAATGGCCATTCATCTTTGAGAAACCCCTTCAGCCCTTGATCTCAAAGCACTCTGTGGATTATCACATCCATTTTGTAGACAGAGAATATGGGGAGGTGGAGAGGAAGTGATCAGGGTCAGTGACAGGGCTGGGAATGGACCCAAAGCCTCCTGATTTCCAGTCGAACTTTCCATCCTCTGGAGAACAGTCTTAAGTAATTGGATGGATCTCCAAAATTGTGACACAGGAGCTGGAAAATGCGCAGTCCTGCAGATTCTCACCCTGGCTGTGTTCCTGCCAGTCGCCTGCTGTGTTTTGTCCTCTGCCAGGTTTTGTTTGTCTAGCACATGGCTAGCACAGGGCCAGCAAAGATAGTCCCTCTCTTTGCTTCAACTTGGTGCAGAGTGTCTTATTAGGGGGTATGAGAGCACTGGTGCTGCTGCCTGGTGCACAGGCTGTTCTGGGTGAAAGATTTCTGCATTTACTGTCCCCTTATGCTTGTTATTTGACGTTGGGCAAAAGTCGTTTCACAGCTGCCGGAGGACACGCCTGGGTTGCTCCTAACAAGCTGTGGTGCTCACTGCTGCAGACCTCTGTGCAGGGGAAGGGAGGTTTGATGCTGTAACAAGAAGCCACCCCTGTGCTCTAATTAGCTTTCCTTTGGCAAATGTGAAGACAATGGCTATTAGACCACTGGCTTTTGTAATTATGATAAAGTAAATAATGTTCAAACCACTTGTCTGCTAAGAGTGTAGCATCTCCATCTCTGGCTGGAGAGACAAGGGATCAGCTAATTGGATTATAGATGGAAATGCTGCTCTAGGTCTCCTCCCACCCTCTCCACACGGCGTGGGCATGGGGTTGGTGTTTGTCTCTGCACATTGTATCAGGCAGAGCTGCGGCATTTGCTGGGATCTTGGTTATGCCAAGTCCTGGTATTGAGCTGGGTGATTTTTCTGGAGGAAAGCTGAGCCCCGTCTCTGTTTGCTTGGGCCAGGCTGCGTGCAGGCAAGTGGGACCATCAGGGATGTCCTGCTTCATTGGCATTTGCCCACTGGTTGTGTGATGTGCTTTCCTACAGCAGTCTTGTCCAGAAATTTCTTAAAACCTTTATATTTTCTTCACAAACTGCAGTTCTGGAGTTCCCTGAGGCTGGATTCAGGTGAGGTGCAGTCTCCCTTGTCTCCCCGAGTCCTACCATGACCTGGGCTAGGAGACATCCAAGAAGAATGCAGACACATCTAAAAGCCCCTGGACAGTGCCTAGCTGGCTCCTAACAACTACCCAAAATGGTTCATCAGTGTGTCTCCAGAGTAATTATTCATACAATACATTCAAGGCAAAATGTAATTGTTTGCAGTGATGGCAGTACAGGGAGGATCTAGCCTGGCTTGGGTTACGAAGCTTGGGTATTAATCACAGCCACCAAAATGCTCTTGCTCTGAAATTACCAGGCTGTATCTGTGCGGGTCTTCACCCTGGTTAACACAAACGCTAACTGGCATAAAAACAACCCCTCACTCCTTCATGCTGGTCTGGCGTGAGATTGCCAAAATTGGACAAAACTCCCTTCCAAGTTGTGGCATCACCCAGCCTGAGGAACCCACAGCAGCCCAGAGCCCACCAGCGGAGGTTGCCCTCCTCTGCCACGAGCATGATCGGACTTGCTGGAGGCCATGCAACAAAACCATGCAGTCAAAGCTGTATCTTCATCCTCATGCCCACAGGGACCTCAGTGTTGATGCGGGACTGACTCACGCCCAGTTCCAGGTCCGACCTGTCCCTCAGCCCTATCAGCATTACTTAGCTACACCTCGGATGCACCATTTCGCCAGAAGCACATCCTCAACACAGATGGTAAGTGAAATACTTTTACCGAGAAATGTTTTATGCATTGTCTGCCAGAAGGCAGTCAAAATAAAGGCTGCTATCTTTCTATCACCTGTCTTCTGCAAATCCCACTTATCTCCGGCCGTGGGAGGGAGTGTCTGAAAGATAATGTTGCATCGTTGCACTCTGGATTCGAGAAAGGAAAGAAAAGCTCAGCTGCTCTGGAAAGACTCACTCCATCGCGTGCAGCACCATGCTCACAAGCTGGTCTGTGAAACCTGGGCAGGATGTGAGAGACTCAGCAGTTATTACTAATAATATTATTAACATTGGAACAAACTGTGGGCTCCCAGGACTTTTCATATGCAGACAGATTGTCGGTAGGTGATTCCCTTTCCCGGGATCAGCCCCGACCACCATCCCTCATCATATCATTGCTCTCTACATCAGCATTGATGCCATCTGTAAAGGTCTTGCATGACCATTTGGACAGGTGGAGGTGGCGTTTGACAAGAAGATGGGCTGACCGGGGTCATTTGCTGGCCCTTCTCCTAGCAGCGTGCTGTATTTGGAGCTGAGCCATGCCAAGCCCTGCTAATCCTTAAAGCATCCTCAGAAATCCCATGAGGGTGTTTTTTCCTCGTGCCCATAGTCAGACTCTGACACCTGTGCACTACAGCAAAGCTTGAAAAATCAAGGCTTGGATGAAGATAAATCCACCCATTTAGAACTAAATAAAATAAAATCTCTTTTTAAGGTAATCCATGTTGAGAGTCTGGAACTGCAGGGTTATAGATGCAGCAGGAACTGTTATAACAGGTAGTTTATTCAGAAGAAATTCATGTCCTTTGGTTATCATTTATAGGAGATCTATTTAATAAAACCTCAGGTCTTGGTTATTGAAAGGCTTCCATTGGGGAAGGTGCCAGTCTTCTCTTTCATTTAGAATTTTTAAAACACTAGATTTAAATCAGGGTACACAAGGTATTTCTATGTGCAAGCACAGGTGGCTTTACTTTTCTCCCTCACTTCTCACAGGTTGTTCATGAAATCAGAAATTACCCTTATCCTCAGCTTCAGTTACTTGCTCTTCAGGGACTGAACCCAAGCAGGCACACATCTGCTGTGCGGGAGAGCTATGAGGTACGTATCTCTGGGACTGGAACTATTATTAATTTTTTAAGTTCTGGGAATCGATGCAAGCTCTGGCATAAACTTTTAAGACTGTTTTGTGGCACGGCCTTTGCACTCAGTCTTGCAGCAATTTTAGTAATAACTGGGAGACGAAGGGGTTGAGTGGGTTTGGGAAAAGATGGTTTACTCCAGGGTGCCTGGGTCTGGCTTGGGTTGGCTCTGTCTCACTTCATGTCTGTGAACAAAGTGCTTTAGTTCTGTGGGGTTTTATTTCCCAGCCCGTTAAATGGAGCTCAAATTCCACCTTAATTTGTGAAATATTGGATGTCTAGCTCTCTGCTCTCTGTCTTGAACCCTTAGTTATTGGTTGAAGAGCCAGGGCTCATGTTCATAATTAAAGCATGATTGATTTGGGTTTGATGGACATTTCCACAGAGGAAAAGGCAGGAGGGAGCCTTGCTCACCAGCAGGTAGGCTGGAGTGGTGGGACCTCATGTCTGAGGAGCAATGCTGACAGTGCTTTGCTACTGTTCCTGTGCCACAGGAGCTGCTGCAGCTGGAGGACAGGCTGGGCAGCGTGAGCCGGGGTGCTGTCCAGAACACCATTGAGAGGTTCACCTTCCCCCACAAGTACAAGAAGGTGAGTGCCCCGAAACCGCGGCACAACTGCCAGCCCCTCTCAGTTGGCCAAGGGTTGTGGGCACGGAGTGGACAGAAAGAACGACTTTGGTGGGAAAACCAGCACCATCGATTGAAGTATTGTCTGAAATGGGGGAGGAATGTAAAATCCAGAATTGGTGCTTTATTATCTTGTGGGGTCTCCAGGCTGAAGTGCTGGTGACCTCGTTTGGTTGTTTCTCACTTCTAGGCTAGGAAGCCGGGGGCCAAATTTTCAAAAAGGTCTCAGCATTCTCCCACCCAGCAGGTGCAATTTTTCCCCTGTCCAAGTGTGGTAAGAAAGTGCACACACCAAGGAGGTTTCTTGCATGCAAACCTGCCCCGTTCTGCATGCAAACAGTGCTGCCCACAAACCCTGTCTTGAGAGAGCTGGGTCTGTGGAGTGGGGGAGCTTGTCCTCCCCTCGCTTTAAGAGGTCTCTCCTCTGCTGGAGTTGATCTCCTGCTCGTAAGGAAATTGGTGCCATGTTTTTGGGTTGTGTTAATCAGAAAACAGGAAAAGTGCTTGTTTGTGTAATAATTTCACATGTTGGTCATTCCCGGCTGGGCAATAACAAGTAGGGACATTGCATTGTCCAAGTTGGAAGCAAGTCAACTCTTGCTGTGCTTATCTCTGACCGCATCTCCAGTGGATCTGGAAAAATCATATTAATAGGATTGGATGTGTAGGGGGAAGAGAAAAGGGGAGAGCTGACAGGCTAAGTACTGCCCCACTGCACAGTGTGGGGCTGGGCCAGTGGCCAAGCCCGCTGGGGTACGGTGGTTGTCATTCCTGGCAGCAGTTGGTCCCACATGCTTTGGGGTCTCCAGGAGAAGCCTCCAGCAAGGGGATCATGGGGCCATCCCCACTGCAAGGAGGATGGAGGTGGTGTCAGGGTGCTGTGTTAGGGGAGCAGAGGACAGGCTGATCCTTGGGGTACTACCACTAGCCCTACTGCCACCGGCCCCAGGAGGAGACATGCCAACCAGCAGCGTGTTTGTGGCATCCTCCCCTCACTGGCTGTTTTGGCTGGGCTGGCTTCCCCAAGCTGGAGGATCTGGCTGATGAACGAAGCTCTTATTATTTGACTTCCTGCAGCTACCCAGGCTTGGGAGAGCATTAGAAAGTCAAGTCCTAACCAAATCATGTCTTTAACCTTGCTACAGAGAAGACCGCAGGAGGGCAAAGCTGAGCAGGAGGATGGAGAGGAGTCAGACACTGACGAGAAATGCACAATTTGTCTGTCCATGCTTGAAGATGGAGAAGATGTCAGGTACAATCCTTCCATCTGCTCCTCTGCCTCTTGATGTCATCTGAGTTGTGCTTATTGGGATTAATGCTGCCATGTGGTGGTGGGATTGTTCCTGTTCCTGTCCTGACAATCTCACTTGGGCTGTTGCAGGGTCTGGGAAACCAAATATCATTTAGATGGATATTGGTATGGGCTGTAGGTAGGATGGGCTCTGCGGCAGCAGGAGGGCCAAGTTTTTATAGTATCTCCTGGGTTTGGATCACCTGCTTCAAGGCTGTGCCAATGAGCCAGGTGGCAAGTGTCAGAGAAGGATGGGTCCCAGGTCTCAGACAGCCATCTGGAGCTTGGGATGTCAATGTCTGAGCTTGACAGATGACCAAAGTATAATAAAAGGGAGTGTGGGTGTGAAGTCCAGGGGAGTTTGGCTTGTGGCCAGGACAGAGCTGCTTTATTGTAGAATAAGTGAGATTACTCTGCCAGCACGGTCACAGGGAGCCATCCTGAGCCAACAGCAAAGCCCCGGTTATCCCTCACAGATGTCCCCAGGCTCATGGCTGGGTGTGCTTGTGACAGAGGATGAGGACAAACAACTGCAAGGTGCTGAGCTACCATACAGCTGCACTACCTGGTCCTGCTCCTCACCCTCTAATTGCCTTAAACCTTCAAGAAAATCTCTAATCCTCTTGCTGTGGGTCCTTGTGGTTCAAGGTCCCTCTGGCTCGTGAGGGTGAGTGAAGACGTGACAAATGTGATGCTAGTGAAGAGCAACCACATTCCCTGGGGCACACCAGGCAACCACACAGGAGCAGTGGGGACCCACCTGACTGCTATGAGCCACAGCAATGAAGAATCAAGAGTGTCTGGAGTATAACATAATGCTCCTGAAAGGTTAAAAAGCAGCAGCCGGGGTAATTAATAACTGGGACAGCTCAATTCATGAGGGCGTGGGGTTTTCTAAAAGGCTTTTAACCCAGATGGCCACCATCTCTGACCTGCCGCCCTTTTCTGGGGACGGCTGCAGGACCTAGGCAGCACTGCTGTCACTGCAGCGGTGCTTCCCCATGTTTGAAGCAGCCCCAGCTGCTGCTTTCTGGCTCTTCATATTCCCCTGGACCTCCTCTGTCTTAATGTGCTGGTACTTCTCTCTCTGCAGGCGGTTGCCCTGTATGCATCTCTTCCACCAAGTGTGCGTGGACCAGTGGCTGGCCACCAGCAAGAAGTGCCCGATCTGCAGGGTGGACATTGAAACACAGCTCGGCTCGGACAGCTGAAAGGACTGGCTGGACACACCATTTTCCTTACCAGGTCATATGGCCATAAACCCTTGCAGCAAAATTTTTGCCTTCTGAGCCATTTGATTGAGAGGAAAAGTCTGCAGGCACGTTAGTGAGGAGGAGGAGGAGGAGGTGGCAGTACAATATCTAGTGATAGGAGATATTGCACATACGCAGGATACGGGCCCGGTGAAAGGGAGCTGGCATTCCCGGAGCTCAGAGACCCCGTGCTGCAGAAGATTTAGTATTGAACATGAAGGAATTAGTTGTGGTAGTCTGGCCTGTCAATCCTGCATTTCATGAGGATTGTATATATACCTCTTGAATACGTAGAAACATGTTAGGGGTCCTTTAGCTATTTCTATGGATGGCAGCTGGAGCATGTTAGCTTAAGAAATGTTGTGTTTGATGCCCTACTCATCTTGTGGTGGACATGTTGCTGTTACCTAATTTGCACCAAATATTTTTTCATAGATTCCTTATTTTGGTGCCTGATTAATACATTGCAGAAGGGGAATAAAGAGGCCAAGCTTTCCCACCCCTGGGGGGGGAAGAGGCGAAAAAGCAAAATCCTGTTTACAGTCAGAAGGGTTGCGCTCTTTGCCTCAGCTGTGTGTGCTTCCTTTCCTTGCGTTTACAGTGTGTTGCAAATTTAGAGAAGCTTAAAAAAAAAAAAATAAAAAAAAATTGTGAATGAAGTGAATGAAGCAATAGGGAGAAGCTTCGTTCCTGCTTATCTGCTGGTGCTGGACACTCTCTGTAGGGGAACAATATTAGAGTAGATGCTGTTTCTTTGCTTTCTGTATCTTAACAAAGTAGCTTGGCATGTTGGAATCCAAGGAAGGGTTGTCTTCATGATTGCCATTGTCCAATGATGCTTTCTCCTGCCAGCTATGAGGCTGGTTGGCTTCAGCAGTGGTCCAAAATGATGGTTACTGGAGTTGGCACCTATAACTGTTTTTTTTTTGGGGATATAATAACACTGGAGAGGTGCTGAGAGATGTATGCTGCTGACTTCTCTCCCATGCAAAAGCATCTCTGATAACAGGACAGGTGAAAACTCCCAATGTTCACAAGGCACTGCTGAAGCCACGAGCGGCTGAGCATGGGAGGGGAAGGCAGGTTGGAAGCTGCTTTTTCACAGGGCTGGGCTGTGACCCTGCCTCAAAGCACATGCACCTGCACCCACATGCGTCTGTATTCACATTTCAGGATGTATCCATATGCAGAATGGAATGATTATTAAAATGAAACTTAATTTTATTAATGCTCAAACCAGAATTACAAGGTGGTCCCCAAAGGAGTAAGCTGTTGCGATCTAAGGTCTCCCTAAAATAAAGACCTCAGCATGCCAGCTGCAGGGACAGAGCTGAAAACCCACTGGAGAACCAACATTCACAACCAAAACAATTTTATTTTTTCTTTTTTTAATTTAAAATCAAGGTTGTTGTGGTTTTTTTTTTCATACTAGAGAGGCAAAAGAGAGATGCAGAGGAGCAAGAAGAATTAGTCATGAACGTTATATATTGAAAATGCTGATGTGGTGGGAATGTTTTCTGGCTCCCCTGAGCATCCATTCTGCTGGAGCCGAGTGATGCTCTCCAAGTAGAAACAATCGTAAATTACCATCTGAGAGATCATGGGATTCCCGTGAGCTGTAATTGGAAAACACCAACCTCAGAGGCACCCCAGAGATTTTTTTTTTTTTTTTTTTTTCCCACAGGACGCAGGGATGCAGGAGCTCCTCTATTTCAGTGCCTATGTAGGTAGGAGGGAGTGGAGTGGGATACATGGTGGCATATAAAGAAGATACAAGGAGGACATTTTTTACAATGAGGGTGGTAAAACACTGGCAGGGGTTGCCCAGAGAGGTGGTGGATGCCCCATCTCTGGAAACATTCCAGGCCAGGTTGGACGGGGCTCTGAGCAGCCTGATCTAGTGAAGATGTCCCTGCCCATGGCAGGGGTTGGACTAGATGGCCTTTAGAGGTCCCTTCCCACCCAAACTGTTCTGTGATTCTGTGATTTTAGTATATATTTGCCACAAAGCGTAAGCAGTGGCTTCTTGGGGGATATGGTGGTACCAGCCCTGATGTCCATGGGTCAGGGAATGCACCATCAGTACCTATGGGGCTTGCTCCAGCAGCAGCAGATTGAAGCAGCGTTAAAAATAATACTAATATTGCAAACAATATGGACAAGCAAAGCAAGGCTTTGCCAGTTAAAAACACTGTAAGCCAGCCTGGTCTGTCCAGGCATGAGCTGGGGACAAAGCAGGGAGAGGAACGGGGCAATTGGGACCCTGACCAGGTGGGGAGGGAAAGAGGAGCGCTTCCAAACCGCGAGTTTTCTTAAAGCCTATGCGAAAGTGTTACTATTTGCCTAATGAACAAGCACAGTTTTTAAAAAAAAACAAAACAAAACAAAACAAAAAAACCTTTGGTGAAGAAAAGCACCAAACTCCCGTGGTCTCGTGTGAGTGACTGATCCCAAGGTGCGTGCGAATTTACAGCGTCTGGAATTGCATCAGTGTGTCAGGTTCCTTTGCGTTTAAATAATTTGTACGAGTAGGTTGCGATAATAGGATGAGTTTAAAAACAAAACGAAACAACAAAAAATCTCTAGGAACAAAACATTGATAGTTTACAGGGTTTTGTGAGTTTAAATGCCTTATATTTAACAATCATAATTTATGACTAACTTGTAGATATCGTGGGTTCTTATTTAATTATTTTTATAGTTGTTTTTTTGCATTTTTAATTATAATTTATTTATTTAGAAATTAATACTAATTTTTTTTATTACTCCTATTACCTCATTTTTGCATTGTTTCTGGGAATGGAATGCTTTGCATGCGTCGGTACTTTAAAAAAAAAAATTAAACATGGGATGTGGGGGGTAATGCTTATCTTGTCAAAAAAAAAAAAAAAAAGAGAAAAAAATCAGGGTGTGTGATTACAAACTGTATTACTGTGGTGCTGTTACCTTGGATACATTCCATTAAAATGCAAACCTTTGATTCTGTATGCTGTGACATAGTGGAAAACTGCAATATAGTGACTGTGTTTAGCACATATATATGAATATTATTTGCACTCATAATCAAACTCTGGTGATCCTTTCACTTGCGTCCTTGAGCACTGAAGGTGATTAATGGCGCTCTGCAAAACCAAAATGTTTCGGTCGATTCTTGCTACTGTCCTGTCCCCGATGCCGCTGGTGACGTTGCTGCTCTTGCTGCATGTGTTACCCTGCGATAACACCCGGCGGGCCTCCGCTACAAGGCTGTGCTTGGGGCAATGCGTGCACTTAGTGCGAGACTCTAAATTGCTTCAAAAAACAAGGAAGGAAGCCCATGTGTGGTTGTTCTCTCCAATTTTTGGTGCCTATTGGTGTTCAGTCTGGCTCTTCTCCACCTCTATGCTGGGCTCTGCAGAGAGGATGAAGGAGGCAATCAATTGAGCCTGAGTTTGAAGGCAACAAAACTGAAGGATTAATTGCAGTTTTTAAGGGCTGACCCCTGGTCTAGCTGAGAGTGGTTGGGATGGACTCAGGAGCAATTCAGCATCCCTTCATAATGCCTGGCCATGAGCATTTGCTATAACCCTGCTGTGAAACACACATGGAGCAGGAGTCCTCAGCGCTGATATTCTTAATCAGTTGGTGTCATCCCTCCTTGTGAAGGCGGAAACCTCAGCTTGGAGCTTTTTAATCCACTGTAGAGCTAGGACCTGCACTGGAGCCCTCCTGTCCCCAAGGACGAGGCCAACCCCAAGCTGATGTCCCGCTCCTGCAGCAGTGGCCAAGCATCCCCATCCCCGGCCACAGCCGTGCTGCTCTCACAACACACTGCCCTGTCCAGAAAGGCTTCTGGATGTCAAGTGCTCGAGCCTCGCAAGAGCGTTAGAGCACTTTTGATAATATTTTAAGTTTTAAGCCATAATAGCTCTTGGTCAGCACAGATGCTTGGCCACGCATGGACAGAATGAGGTTCAATGCATGTGCTCAGCCAGTAGCTGTCCGTCCCTCCCCCCACAAAAGGCTTTGGATGCAATTCCTTTTTGGGTTAGAAAGGCACAAAATTACTCTACCTTTCTTTCTTTTTTTTTTTTTTTCCTTTCTGTCCCTTCAGGGTGCTGCTCTGCTTTGTTGACTTTGCCTTACCCTGGGTTTAAAACCTGTCCGTGTTTTTTTCCTTGCTGCTCTGTAACACTCCTCCCCTGTAGCCCGGAGCTGCGGTTTCAAGCCGTGCAGTGTTGGAGGGGGGTCGGTTGTTCACCCCCACAAAGACACTGTAAAAGGGATAAGTAAAACAAGGAGCGAGCGAACAAAAATCCTCTTCTTTAATGACCCAGGCTGGTGAAAGGATCACCACATTTTTGTACTCCTACTGCTGTTCTGTTGTGCTGTGCAACATTTTGCTACATAGACTATTTTATAGAAGAAAGCTAGAAAAATATTTATTATTAATATTAAAGCAATAGTGCATTGAAGAAATAAAAAGACATTAGAAATTGTGTAAATGCTTAGATTCACTTTTGGTGGATTTTTTGTACTTTATTTATAACTAATAAAACAAACTGCATTGCTAACTATAAACACGTGCCACATAGAAGTCACCTGGCAGGGTGATCGCTTGGTCTTTATTTACATCTCATTTCTTGTATCTTTGGGTCAGAGTCAATTCTTCTTTCACCTCATCTGCCTTTGGATTTTGATGTGCAAAAGAGACACTGCTGGGATATAAAATACTCTCCCAGCTGGTTTGCCGGGGCTGTGGGTGCTTGAGCTTCACAGCGAGGCGGGGTGAGGATTCCATACCAGAACACCACTGTGCCTAATGTCCTGTGACCCCAGTTTTGTGAGTAGGTACCAAAATCACTTTCTAGAACCAGGCTGAAAATTGCCTGTTAAAGAGAAAATTCTCCTCTAAACACAACCCACGGTGCCTGTGGGATATGTCTAGCAAGTCCTGCAGAGGTACCAGCAGGTCCTCCATCCTCCCGGTGGAGAAGCATCTCCCTCCCTGTGGGTCTCTGGTTTAATAACTAAGGAAAGAGAAACTTATTGGCAGAAAAAAAAAAATCCTCAAAAACCCTCAGATATATTTGAGTGTATTTTCAATCCTTTTGTTACCTGCAGAAGAATCTGATGGGCCATACACCCAACTTCACATCTTGCACAGCTCATGTCACAGGTCCTCTTGCAGTTTTATTTTTTCCCACAATGAATGGTGCCAGTCTCTGCTCCTGCCCACTCTCGATTCAGCTGCTCCTCCTCATGCATTTCATGCAGAACGGCTGAGACCAATCCCCAGCTTTGACTATGTGATTAGACTAAATAAGCCTTGGAGACAGGCGGCTGCTGATCATAGAGATTTGGTTCCTGCAGCCAAAGGGAATTGCCAGCCCCTCCAGCATCCAGCAAAGGGTGCGTGAGAGACTCACCATATTCAGGGAATACAAAGCTCCCATTATAGGAAGCTTTTACAAATTCAGAAAACCGGTTAAAAATGACCTGCTGGTCCAGCTGGGGAAAATCTCAGTTGCTCACTGAGATCTTGCTGATGTCCTTCGAAAGGATAACGGTGCTGAGAGAGGAGATGGCAATCGGTTTTCCTTCAAAGCTGCTGCAGCAAGCACGCCGCTGCGAACCGATAACAGCCCTGCCGAGCGTGGCGAGCAGTATCTGGTGGCTGCACTGGGGAGGGAGAGGGGTTGTGCCCATTAAGGTGTAGCACCAAAGGACAAGATGAAATGTCTTTATTCACTGCGAGCATTCGCTCTCGCAGCAGCTGCCCAGGGTCAGGAAGCTTGGCCCTTATTTGTGCTTTGTAGTATCTAACTCCTCAGCTCGCCCACAGGTTGCAGCTCAGAGCTGTACAACCCCATCAGTAAATACAATTTTTGTTGGTTGTTTTTTTAAATGGAGCTCTTTTCTATGTCAAAATGGACCTCCACACCCCCTGATGGGGTAGGGGAGATTATAAAATGGGTGTCACATCCCTCAGTTATTCTGCCTTTGTGCACATCAGATTGTCGTAGGTACATGATGCTCTCAAAAATGTTTCACAACAGTTACACTAAGGTTTTCAAATAATTCTCTGTGTCCTGCAGCAAGAGACAGCTGGTCTCTCTTAGCATCCAACACCGCAAAGGACTCCTTGTTTATACTGGTTTTCACTGGCAGCACCCAAGTGCTTTTGTAAACACAGCATTTCATTGGGCTTCCAAAATGTGGGGACCCACAGAGATGGTGGAATAACCTGGTTTTGCAGACTCCCACTGAGTACCACCATCCTTGCCCTTTGCTCTTGTTTTTCTTCTACATTCATGTTTTTTTTGGATGAAGGCATATGCATTAAAACCACACCAATTAAAAAATAAGGAGGAAAAAAAAAAAAAAAAAAAGGTGGTGGGTGGAGCAGGAAAGACATACAGCTTTGGGATGCTCTGTCCAGCAGACAGAGATTGCATGAGCCCTGCAAAAGGCACAACACTAGGACAGTTTTGGCTTTTTCTCCTCCCCAGTTCTCCCCTTCACCAAGAACATGTTCGTTTTAGCAGCTTAATGCAAATCCAGCCCTTGGAAAAACTCCACTCTTGCCTTAATACTTCTGTAGCATTAGTTGTTGTAGCAACAGAATGACTCCCGAGAGCGAGGGTGGAGCTGAGTTTTGCACAAACAAGGGGCCTTTTTGAAG